GGTGTGTGTGTTTTCGTTGCATTTATGTCGGGCGCGAGCCTTTGCCGTTCGTTACACGGTTGACTCACCTGTCTACGTCACACAAATACTCAGCAGGAATACATTGTACTGTTGTACAGCAGTTCTTTACAGCAGTTTTTTACAGCACCTGAGCAGGCTTGCATGTGCGATGTCTCTCTGTGCAATGTCCAAGTGAACTGACCTTATTCATAAACGATGTTGCAATATTTTCTCTTCTCTGGACCTCTCTATGCTGGCAGGTTGCGCGCACTTTCAAGATCGGCCACGACAAGGTCAGACGCATCAACAACCACTGGTGGGATCACCGCCAGTTGTACGAGACCACCGCCGTGGGGAGAGGCAAGACGGCAAAGAAGGATGATGGGCGACGCCGCCTCACCGAAGTACAAGAAGATCAACTTCGCGAGTTCATCAATGACGAGCACAAGGCCGGTCGTCAAGTCTTTCGCCGCACGGTGGCAGAATGGATGCACAGGACTTGCAACATGGAGCAGCCGTCCAACCGTTCGGCAGGAGGGCTGCTGAGTAGGCTCGGCTACAAGCGTCGTAGAGGCAGGATCAAAACGCCACCGTTAAACGCCGAAAGACTTGCTCGCATTCGTCGGTTTCTTGTTGAGATGGTCATGGCAAAGAGGGCAGAGGATGCTGGGTTAGCAGTGATCGTGTACATGGATGAGAGTTTTGTCCACCAGGCTCATGGTTCCCCCTATTCTTACTTTCCTTCGGACGAGGATGGAGTTGTGCAGGATGGGATTGGTCGCACAACGGGGAAGGGCTTGCGCATGATCATGGTGCATGCAATCACGAAGTGGGGGCCGTTGGCTAAGCTTTGTGATGGGTTACCGATCGAAGAGGGCTGGTTCAAGGAAACGGGTAGCGGCAAGAAGGAAATGGAAGATGAGGAGACAGCAGAGTTTCTGTGGCAGGCTAAGTTGGCAAAGGGCGATTACCACGCAGCAATGACCGACTCGATGTTCATGGAGTGGCTTGAACACCGCCTTAGCCCTGCGTACAACGCGATCCCGGAGTTCAAAGGCAAACGGATGATTCTTGTTCTTGACAACGCCTCATACCACCATGGATTTGACGCGGAAGTCAAAGTGCCGGAAACCAACACCAAGAAGCACAACGTCGATCTGTTGCGTATGTTTGGGGCCAAGTCGATCAGGGTTAGGCGTAAGGAGGGCGAACAGGGCGTTGTTGAGTACAACTTCGAGGTACCGACAGAGCCTGGTTCTTCATTCCCTGCAGGGAACAGGGAGGGCGGTGTAAGCAGAGCGGAGGTAGCAACGGCCACTCGGGAGTACATCCACCTCAATCACCCTGAAAGGCTCGAGGAACGGGTGGTGACGTTCATGAGGAAAAAGGGGTGGGCGTTGACTTGGACGCCGCCCTACATGCCGTCCTTTCAACCGATCGAGCTTTTTTGGCAGCATGTTAAGCAGTACGTCAGCCTTAACTTTGAGTTGAAGCGAAAGATGCGAGAGGTGAGGGTGCAGATTCGTAAAGGTTGGTACGGGGACAAGGAATGGCCAGGCCAGGAGGGGGGGTGGAAGGCAGCCGATTATTCGAAGCTGGTTGACCACGCCATTGGTGATGAATAAGTGGGTCAAGGACCGTGATGGAGTGCTTTCTGGTACGATAGGCAGCCTCGAAAAGCCGGACGGGTACGATACAGATGATGTGGCGCCCGTGGGTGATGTCGAGGAAGGGGTAGGGGAGCAGATCCAGCAGGAAAGCGCAGAATGGGGTGATGGCAGCGACGAGGTTGAACCATGATGAGATTTTTTTCAGCCTTGTGTTCAATTGCTACACCCATGCACTGGGTGTACCATGTTCCAACAGCACACATGTGTGATTGCTGTGCGCGGGGGGTTGCGTCCCTGCTTCCAGCTGCTGCAGTTGTTGAAAAAAAATATCAAAAATATTCAATTGTCGACAAGTCTTACCCCGGATGCAGCTTACTACACGTCAACTGCATTCATGTTCTATCATCTTGCGTATTGACCGCCTTCGTCACGGAAGCGTTTTGCGCTACTGTATGCCGGCAGGCGCTTAATAATGTTGAGTTGCAGGCCGAGAAGTGGGGATACCAATGTTGGCCGCATGTTGCTGGGCATTTTTTCCGATTTTGAATCTCTGCTCAGGTGCAGACAAGCCATAACTCAAGCATTTCNAAATATCAAAAATATTCAATTGTCGACAAGTCTTACCCCGGATGCAGCTTACTACACGTCAACTGCATTCATGTTCTATCATCTTGCGTATTGACCGCCTTCGTCACGGAAGCGTTTTGCGCTACTGTATGCCGGCAGGCGCTTAATAATGTTGAGTTGCAGGCCGAGAAGTGGGGATACCAATGTTGGCCGCATGTTGCTGGGCATTTTTTCCGATTTTGAATCTCTGCTCAGGTGCAGACAAGCCATAACTCAAGCATTTCTTTTTTTTTAATGTCTTTTTTTCATCGTGACCGCCTTTTCCCTGTCGTCAATTTGCGCTATCGTCTGCTGTGCTGCGCATCGTATTGCGAAAGTTACACTCCGAAACGCATATCTTTTAAATTGCTCCTAATATCAATGTGCCACCGTAATATTAACTATGTGCCACCGTAGTAGTCATCCTTGAGCTACATGAGAGTATGTTGGGGTTACAAAACATGCGAGGACTGATGAGTGCCATGCGCGACAGCGAACAGTGGCGTAGCACAGCAGAGCACTGGTGACTTACACCGCAATAACGGATGCCAAATAATTTTTTCGCGGCACGCTCGTATGTCGATGCGTTATGCCATAGGTGATCTAATAAACGAATTGGTACCCCCCGAATTGTGGCCCGGTGCTCTGTCCAACCTTAAGTAATACTGTATCGCTCTACATTTCGCCCAACACTGAAAGATCGGGAGGTGGACAGAAAAGATCGGGAGGTGGATAATATTTTTTTGTAGTACTCTTCGTACATAGTGCCCGCAAGGTAGGCAAGTGCGTTGCAACTATTGTGTCGGTTACAACCAACCCCGTCTAGCTGTGGGGATCGCCATCATACAAATAGGTGGGGGGGTGGTGGTCCTCATCATCAGCTAGCAGCTACAAAATTCTGTGTCTTTTCTTCGTCGACAACTTGGCACCTCTTACAGCAGCATTTTAGGTGCCGAACGGGCACTACGGACGAAGTCTCATAGTGTTGTGTCGTCGCATAGTGTTGTGTCGGTACCGGCACAACGGCGGGTTCTGTCTGTGCATTAATTTCACCGGAACAATAGCGGGCATTCGCACTATGGGTCCCGGAACTACTTTGGGATCAATGCTGTGTAAAGGTGGTCATGTGTTGAAGGACAACATTACCATTGGATTCGGGGCTACGCAACTGCGATAGTCATTGCTATGGCACGGATGCAGATGCTTCAAAATACCAACGAGGGATAGTCTAAGGCCCGCTTCTTACAATTGTACATTAAATGCGAGCTCAAAGCTGGTGAACACACACAAGGATTAATCATATGAATACATGAAATCCATTCGTTGTTACTTTCCGCCATGCTCGAGTTGAAGTTGAGCGCAGGCCTGCCGTTCTCGCCCGTGTGCCACGACAATGGGTTGTCCTGGTCGTTCGGGTTGTTGAATCTGGCGCATCGCACGTACCCGGCGACGAGCTGTATCCTTACCCCGGTTCTTTCATCGGTTTGGGTATGCATATAAAGGTCTGTTACGGGATTCGTTACACATACACTGCAAACATGCCCGGAGGTACCTGTCGACGGCGAGCTGAGTCCCTTGCCAGAACAGGTCCCGGCATCTCCTGAGGAACGCTTCGTAGCTCCACGCGGTGTTGTAGAAGAGCACGATCGGGCGCCTAGTCTCGTCTCGAAAAGTTTCTTCAACGCTCTGTCCACCTCCTCGAACCCCTCGGCCTCATACATCGTCTCCACCCCACAGACGATACCACATGCCCAGCTCGATGTAAAACAACCGAAATGAGAGCGTCATCCGTAAATGGCCCTGAGGAGTGGCATGTCTTCCTCCTGCAGTACATCGTAACCAACCGCATGGAGCATGAAAAGCAGTGGGGAGCTAGGTAAGAGAGAAAAGGTGCCTGCAGTTTTCTGACTGGCCAATTTTTTTAAAGGAACGTTCCTGTGTGCAGAAAATTCCGTGATCGACCGACGACGTCAGCCACGGCCATGGCGTCACTTCTTGAAAAAATTAAAGAATTCAAATTCGCCGTGGACGACTGATTGGACTGATGATGACGCCAGACTTTCACGGGAATCGCTGACCACACGGACGGATACAGCCAGTCATTCGTTCCCTGGACGAACGCATATACTCCTGGCTGCTACGATCCACCCTACGCTGGGTGGTGTTGAACCCACCATCCCCGCCCCTCTTCTTGTGCTTTTTTTGTCACACCCACACGACGACACCCACACGACGACGGACGGTCTTGGAAAAAAAAAAGAGAGGCACACGGCAGGGACAAATCTCGACGGGAAAATTCGCCGCAGGAACACCGACACACGCTCACAACTACACCCCCCCTCACATGAAAAGAGGTACGTATTTTCTACATGCGTCTTCACTTTTTCAGCCCAAGAATAATGCCCGTTGAATGCTCGAATACGATTGGCTCGTCCATCTCGTTCAGAAGTAGTTGATGACGCCGATGTACAGCAGAACCAATCAATTCACTGTTTCCCGAAAACCAAGAACCTCATGGAGTAGAAACGCGGCTGAAACGGGATCCTGAACCGCATCCTACATGTCCAATTGTGAAACTCAGAGGCAACTCCAACTAAACACGGAGCATCGTTTATGCCTTTGCTGCAGTCGTTGATGACGACGGCAGTGAAGCGCCAACCTTCGTCCGACGCGAATAGAAACAAGCGATGGACACGGGCAGGGAAGAACGTTAATAGCGGACTTACAAGAGACAGGGAACGGGGCCGAAATCCGTGACAAACCGCCAGAAGTGAGAGATGTCACGGTCATAACAGAGAGACAAAGCGAGAAAAACGAAAAGAGCTCGTGGAGATGCACCCACCCAAGATTTCAGAAAATGGATACCGAAAAGAAAATTACGTGCGCAAAATGGGGAAAGATTGGACAAAGTGTATGGAGATAAAAAGGCCTATTATTAACGACAATAAAAATACGGAACACTTCACGGAAGCGTGCTTTCTTGTAAATATTTGGAGGCGTTTTTTCCCCGATCCGTGAAGAAAGTAGCGAGTAAGTGTTTTTTGGGGCTTGCTGCTTTCACGGATCCGGCAAAGCTGACACGAGGGTCGGGCAGGGTCGAGCAGGCGCACCGCGGGCGCTGTAACATCACTGAGAACGCTCGCAAACCCTGCTAGACTCACGTCCAGGTCTGTTGTGGAGACGCACAAGCGGCAGAAGTGGCGTTCAGTCCGTTCTTGGTCCAAAACGAGTCAATTCGTTTCAATCACACATTGCAAACACGGAAACATCAGAACGAGTACAGCAGCAGCACCAAGACCCCCAACGCGCTGATTCCTTCGGTTCGGCTGTCCAAATAATGTTCACTGCCGGCGCCGTGCTGTTTCGTGGGTATTGGGGGCTTGGATACTGCTCAATAAGGTGTATGAGCGACGTGAAAAACCTGACCAAAATGCCGTTGGAAAAAATGCGGCGAGATGATCTGTTTTCGGTTGGACACATCAACATCAATCTACGGCACCACGCAGCAGGATAGCAACAGGGCCTCCGACACGATAATTATCTCGCATAGGCCATCAATATGATGCTGGCCGTCAGCCCCGCTGCCGCCCTACGATTGTTGAGTTCGTCTACCTTTGGGCAGGTGGTGGTCAAAGAAGGGAGTCGCAACCGTGAAAAATGAGCCGGTAAACTGAAGACATCCCAAGCAACACCCAGGTTGCGACACTCTGCCCTGCGCCTGTTGATGCTGAAAACTGAAAATAGCAGACCAGGTGGAAGGGATATTCTTAGTGTGCTGTCCATTGTGTTGGGTGCTGCTCGTTGCGCTTTTATCGCTCCTCCATGGTGAGCAAAACCAAGTCAACCTGTTGTGTGCCCAGCAAAGCGTGTATTCAGGGAAGGAAACGAACTTTTTGCGATATCAAGAATAGAACAAGCGAAAAATAATTGGGTATTCTTTTCACCGTCCCGTGAAAAAATGCGTGAATTTTCCGCGGCGTTATTAATGGGCCTAAAGCAGAACGCGCACGCCATGCCCTTGACGATACCTAAATTCAATGTGGCGGGGTTCCTGGACACGGTGGGATTAGATCGACAAAGCGTGTGCACAGTTGAACGGTGACCGGATTACTGGGCACGTCTCATGAAGAACTTGTGAGTGGGTCGGAAACACGCAGAGGGTGCCTGACGTGAATCGAACGCGAACGCCTTTGGATGAAGTATGTGTGCTGATCGGGTTAGCAATTTTTTCGGTTGATTACCACTGCGGAGGTTCACGGACGAGGTCATATCCTTTGCCGATGTGATGAATCTCAAGCAACACCAACAACACCTAACAGTATCCGCACAAGCAGGAGTGACAAAGCAATATTTGGGCATACCCAGCTGTGAAACAAGCCAGCCCCGTTGGTTGCTGGACTACTATGACGCATGGGTAGTTCGAAAGGGTTCGGCGAAGGTTTCGTTCAGCCCGTCCATTCGTTGCATTGCAATACTCCATCAGCCTTGTTTGCTTCTGACCCGGTGGACCTGCGCGATTGGCTCTACGTTCCGCTCAAAATGTTTACGCCGTGCCTTGATCTGCGGCTAGACTATACAAGGTAGATTCGACGTATCTGGCGCGAGCCACTGGACCATGCCGGGGTCACAATTTTCGCGAACGTCTGCGCTGATTGGAAGGGTGGTAGAGATTCGTGAAGCATGAGCGGGATACGTGTTTTCCATCCCCCCCAAACCCCCCCCCCCCGGCGTTTGCCATCGGGGTTGGGTTTTCGTCGCTTGGCAACGACGTTGTAAAACAAGCCAATTCACTTCGTGAAGTCGGCAACCAGGTTTACCGCTTTTTTTTCACATCTGTTTCTTTTTTTACCTC